CACCCCAGGCACCTCCCCACCGCCCCCCCCGCGGGAAGTATGGCTGGCCAGGGTTTCACTGCATGCGCCCACCCACCCTCCTGCCATCTAACACCTCAGTGGGACCCGAGTGCACCCCCATCTCATATTGCACCCCCCATCTTTAACCACAGAGGTGCCTGGCTCAAGGGGCAAACCTGCCAAGTGGTCTGCACGTACCCATCCCGTTACCTCAGGGAGAAGGCAGGCTGCACCCTCCTGCCAGGAGTGGGAAAGCAGGTGCAGAGCCAGGAGCTACCATCCCCAGTAGGAAGGGGTGGCCCGAGGCCCCCCGGCTGCATGTGTGTGCTCAGGCGTACGAGCCTGCTGTGCCCTTCGTCCCACGGGTAAGGGGCTCCGTGTGGTGGGGTGTACCCCACAGCAGCCTGTGCCCATCTCACAAAGTGTGGGCACCCTCCTGCTGAGAAAAGGGGCCTCAGCCCTGCCCTGTAAGTCCAGGTGGGTCTGGTGACGAGAGGGTGTGGGAACCACCAATGCTTCCTCCTGGCTCTTGCCCTCGGGACGCTGGGTACGGCCCCCGTGCTGTGAGGAGGCCCAACCAGCCCACGCAGGGCCCGCACAGGGACGCCCACATCGGGGGAACGGAGGCCCAGGCACAGGAGTGAAGGAACCTTCCATAACCGTTACCCAGGCCGTGGGTCTCCCTAGATGCCGGGGTGTGCCAGCACAGGGCCCTGTTGCCCAGGCACTGTGGTGCGGGGGACAGGCAGGGGTACCCTGCTGGCCACAGCAGCCTCCCTCCATGGCCCTGTGGCAGGCACCCCGGCCACACCCCGTACACTGTGCCTACCTGCAGCCTGGCCTTGCCCCTCCCTACCACCTGGTTGCCACGGCCCTCACCGCCTCCAACTAGGAGCGGTTCTCATTGGCTTTATTCACCATCTTCCCCACGGCGAGGCTGGTGGGGCAGGGACACTGGCCATTCGGGTCAGCAAACACTGGGGGAAGGGAGGAGGGCGGTCCAAGGAAGGGAGGGGACCTGCAGACTGGCCTGCCTGCTCCTGGTCTCAGCTAGGCCCCTCAGTGGGCACCTTGTGGGTTCTCTGACCCCTGAGCCTCCGTGTCCTCACCTAGAGGTTGGGGGTCATTGCCAGGGTGACAATGTCCACATGGAGGGCCTGAGGCCTCCCGGGCTCACTGCAGGTGCTGGCCAATGGCATCGCTGCTGTTCTGCTTCCGTTCCTGTCCACAGCCCAGAGCCTCTGTGAGCACAGCCCCTTCCAGAACACTCCGTGCACCACACCCAGCTGGCCTCCCGGCCCCAGCAGGCATCCAGATCCTCATTTCCCTTAATGAAGGAACCCCCAAGCCCTGCTTCGGGGGGAGATGGGTCATCACATCCCCAGTTCCCAGCAGTTGGAGAAAATGACTTTCCAACTGATTTCATGGCACTAAGGAACATGTGATGCGTGCTGGGGAGGCTGCACCAAGCTTTCGGCACAAGCTGTCCAGGACGAGCAATAATTGGGGATTTGCTGGGGATAAACCTCAAAGAGTCAAACCACTTTAAGTACGGTCTATAAAGCAGGTCAGATGGCCACTTCCTGGGTCGCCTGTGCAGGGACGCTACTGGGGACAGACATGAGCCCTGTCGAGCCTGAGGCCCCACTTATAGACACACACAAGCAAGGCCCCAGGACACACTTGCACCCCGCATGCAAAGCAGCGGGTCACACACAGGCACCATGCCACACCCGTCACTTACGTGCAGATACACACCCTTCCAGACGGACATGCAGACGGCCCAGAAAGAAACACAAAAAAGACACCAGTAGGCACAGGTGTGCACAGCCCACCACAGCCACACGGAGACACAGGGGCCCCGGCATACACTCTGCTCTCACAGAGCCACCCATGAGCTGCACACAGGGCAGGTGCAGGCGGAAGCCACACGGCCTACCCACTGGAACATGCAGGCACATGCCCGCACGTGCACACATGCACACACACACAGGCCTCAACCTCAGTGTGCATGCTCAAGTGGCCGAGGGTCCCATGGGTGAGGGCCCGGATTTTAGAGGCAGGGTCGTAGCCCCCCTCTGCCCAGTCCAGCTGGCCCAGCCCTGATGCCATTAGTGGGCAGTCTGGCAGCCACAGACAGCCCTGGGGGCCCAGTGCACACAAGAGATCCAGGCGCTGAGCTCACAGTGCTTTCCAGGCCTGGGCCTAGCCAGCCACCTGCCCGCACCGTGCCTGCTCCTACTGGACGAGGGTCACCTGGGTTGGTTCTGGCTCCTGCAGTGCCAGAGGCACCTCTGTTTCTGGGAGGGCCGGGCCAACCACCTGTACCCTGCAGCGCCCACCGGCACACACCAGGGACCAGCACACACGCCTGCTCATGTCAGGGCCTAATGCACACACACCTGCTCATGCCAGGGAC